GCATTCCCGTGGTACCTGAGGAGTGCAAAATGCACACCGTTTTCTTGAGGTCGTCGAGCTCGATATATCGAAAATTCACTACTTCAGCATCGCTGCAAGTGTTCAAAATATCGGAAAAGGAGATTGCGTCGGGATGATGTCCGAAAACCACAATTGTGAGGTTGCAGTTATTCTCCTTTATCGCATTCAAGATAACGTTTGTAGGTTTCTCGCTGCAGAAGATTACTTTTGGTCTAGTTAGCTGCAAGACATGCAGCGCGGTTTCTAATGACAAACAAAATATAATTAATAAGAACTAAATAAAACGAAATTACATTAAAAATCCTATTACATTTTAAATATTATTATACATATAATATTATGTAATAAACATTATTATATAATATATTATATAATTAAACAATAAACAAAATAAAATCTTTAATTAATTCAAGATAGATAAAATTGCACTTGCTCAGTCGTCGGAATTATATTTATTTTTGATTCTAGCTCTTATAATCAAATGCAATATAATATCTGTATTATAACGATTATCCCGCGGAGAAACTCACGGAAATCCATATTTTCGTTCCACGGATTAAAAATCGCGTTGACGTAAACTGCTGCCAAGCAAGGTACAATAGAATTAAGATGATTATGTGTACACACACTGACAACATCGTCGGACTTGATTCCTTGCTTTTGAAGCCATAATGCGCATCTTACAACTTTGTCTTGTAGCTCCGCATATGTAACCGTTTCTTCCGTGCGTGCGTCTAACTACGTTATATTGTTGCTATTATGCAGTTATACGCTATTATATAGCTCTCTATTATAGTTATTATATAGGGTTTTAAAATCAAGAGATATTCCGTTCTATTGCATTATTAAGCCACAGTTAATAAGAGGTGGAGTATCTTGAAATTTTCTAATATATTTAATTTCATGTTGTAATTAGTATGCTGAATATATGCAATGATATTAAAAACATACAATTTAATTGCAAATTAATATTTATTTTTAAATATTATGATATCTATTTATATAATAAATATTGTATAATTAAACATATAGATATATACATTCTATACTTTTTCCTAATATACTAAGAACAAAGTTAAATAAAAGAGATAAAAATCTTAATTTGCAATTAGTTTGTATCCAATTTATTTTAGTTTTCTTGAGTTTAATTCTGTGTCTATGGAAATGATTTTATCTTGTAAAATTACAGACAATAGTTCTATATTTATTACTTTCTCTATAATAGTTCCATCCATCAACGATTTGAAGACGAAAATTTGATAGTTTCACTATAATTATTGGAGATAAAATATATTTAACAAGTTTTTGCGGTCTATGTAATACCGGTTTGGTTAATTGCTACAATAGCATAAAAACTTGTTGTATTCCTATATATAATGATAGCCTAGTAAAATACGCATATTATTACTTCTCTATGAAGTAGAACGCTATAATATTTTAATAACTTCCCGATAATGTTTTCCACTTTTCAGTTTTGTATCTAATATGAAAATATATACGAGGTCTGATCAAAAAGTATCAGACCTCATTTTTGTTTTGCGTCAACCAGCTGCAGTCCGATAACGAGACTAGAGCAGCATGCAACCTTGAATTCTATTCCGCATACATGATTTTTTGCCAGACCACCTTTCAGTCGCTGCTAGGCAGTCGTGATAGTTGCACATGTATTCCGTCGCATTTCGTGTTTCCAGCTAAAACGAACGAACGTGTTCAGCAAAGAATTAGGATGTCGAATCTGTAATTCAAGTAAGGGTAAAAATTACAAAAATGAGCAAATTTATTAGGTTTGGATTAATGAAATTATAAATTTTCTAGTAAATCTGTTCATTTTTATAATTTTCACTCTCACTTGAATTACAACAGAATCGATACCCTGCATTAAATTTGCCATTAAATTTTGTATCTTTTCAATTGTCTCTGATTGCAAATCACCGAATTTTTGACGAAATTTAATGGTAATTCTTTGCTAAATACATTCGATTATTTTAGCTGGAAACACGAAATGCGATAAACACTGAATACAATTGTGCAATTATCACAGCTTCCTAGCAGCGATTGAATCACGCATGTCAAGTAGAGTCCAAGGTTGTATGTTGTATGCTGCGCTAGTCCCGTTATCGGGCAGCAGCTGGTTGACGCAAAAAAAAATAAGGTCGGATAATTTTTAATCAGACCTCGTATTTAAATTTTTTTCTATGTATAGTTTAATTCTAACGTACTTAATTCATAGTTTAATTGATACATTAAATGTTTACAAAAGTGTGCCTTATTGTTAGTAGAAAACATATATGTTGTTTATCTTATAATCATATTAATAAAAAAGCGAGAAATTGCTAGTAAAGCAGATTTTACTATTCTCATCATTATTTATATCTCTCAACAAGTATTAATTTTAAGAGAGAAAGAGAGAAAATATTTTTTTTACAGAAAGTTCTTTTTTCTTATTTATTTAGTTACTATAAATCTTGAAAGTTTTCTTTTTTCCTATGTTGTCACACGTAAATATTTTGACTTACATGTGCAACTTTATCTCCATGGCTTTTAATCTTGAACCATACCATCTCTCCAAGACTCTTATAATTACTTGTATAAGGCAATATTTCTCCTTTGTAAACGTTATTTTCTATAGTAAAATCCTGAAAATAATAGATGAGTTTGATGATTTTAAAAAATTGCAATACTTTCACAATTTTTTGTAGCATGTTTACGCTTTGTCTTTAATTTGAATGTTTCACATTGCATTAACACATACACAGTAGCTTTTTATTTAAAAATTAATTTTATACGATTATTTTTGCATTTACCTTCGACTTATTCCCAACCATTTTGCTAGATTCTTATTCCAGATCCCTAGATATAAGATTTTGAATATGCTCAAACAAATTACTCAAAATTATATCACCGTATCACAAATAAATGCATTCAATAAATTGTATTATGTCTTAATCAATCAAATTAAAATTGTTTTTTTATCAATGTACAATGCACATAAAAAGATTTTTCTACAATAAAAGATAAAATTTTCAGAACGTTCGGTTGTGATATAGTTGCTAAATGAATTATATCGTACTTTATATTATCTAAAACAACGATATAAAATTAATTTTTAATATTAATTAATTGCGCGACAAAATATTATGTTCATGTACGACTTAAACTTTTATCTATACAATATTTTCAGTTGTGTATATACAAATAAATTGTCCAAGTATTCGATCAATGGGGAGAATTGCTTGAATATGAATAAAAATCGAAAACGCTGGCGAAGAAGATATCTTGGAAGATGAGGAAGATGAGAAGTTTTTGCACTACCCCAAGATCACACTTTTTCCGTCAAATGAGGAACAGTAATATTAATGAACAACGATCAATGTATGATCGTGGACAAATGTTGACTGTCATGTAACTTCTACTTGCATTAAATATGTAGTTCTAGATGCACGTGATATCCCTCTCTCTGATCCATTTCGTGATTAGATCGTAGTCTGTATCAAAAGAATGCAGTTCATGCATTCTATTATACTGCTGTTTGTAATGCATCTTTTTCTCCTTAACCGTCATAATAAAAGTCATTAGACATTTTTGATATTATTATGACATTATTATCGCACTGATTTGAAGTAAGCTAGTTTGTGAAAGAATATTGAAATATCACACACACACACACACACACACACACGCACGCACGCACGCACACACACACGCACGCACACACGCACGCACGCACACACACACACACACACACACACACACGCACGCACGCACGCACACACACACGCACGCACACACGCACGCACGCACACACACACACACACACACACACACACGCACGCACGCACGCACACACACACGCACGCACACACGCACGCACGCACACACACACACACACACACACACACACGCACGCACGCACGCACACACACACGCACGCACACACGCACACGCACACGCACAAACACACACACTCAGGAACGCGCGTGTCCGGGTAAAGCCCTATCTTTCTTCTGTTGTCGCCATAGGCCCTCGCTATCGCAAAATCTCAATGGAAATGTTCAAATAATCATAACTCTGCGAAAAAAAAAATCGTAGAGACCTCGGCGACCTCGCGTTGTTTTCGTCTCGGAAAGCCCTTTAAACACACACACACACACACACACGCACGCACGCACGCACGCACGCACGCACGCGCACACGCACACGCGCACACACACACACACGCACACACACACACGCACACGCACACACACACGCGCGCGCGCGCGCGCATATTTTATACATATTAAAAGATCATTAATTTATCTTTAATATTATTATATTATTTGTTGCAATATATTTTTATCTATAATATTTGTGTAATATACGATAGTTATATATCTACATAATAAAAAAGAATATTATGTTTAAACTATCGCTACGATATAATATACAATTATTGGCTACTGGCTACTGGCTCTTTAATATAATATATCTAGATTGTTCAAAGTTTTTTTCAAAAATATTCTTGATGGTACTCTTAATTATTCTCCATCTAGACTATTTTGTATGACCATTCGTAATGTCGTAAAGAACGAAAATATAGTTGACAAATACTGTAACATTAATAATAGTTAAATTAATTTTCAGTTTGTATCTCATAAAAAGATATTGATTATATATTAATCTATTTCTAATTGTCACTTGCATTCTATACATTTGTCATTTATCGAATGTAATATTCAATTAAATTTATTTTGGAAAATTGTATGTAATATAATAAGCTTTCCTTTCATTATTTAAGATTATTTAAATATCTGTATAATAATACACATACACACACATCATGTTAAACACATATATCATACATATGAGAACATTTTTACGACAAAAATAATTGTAAAATTATTTATTGGCAATCAAAAAACACCAAGCTCATCAAACTTTATGCACATACACATAAGCACATATCAAATACATATACAGAGACATTCCAATGAGGAATACCCACTTGAAATATATACTTCGGTTTGCTGTAGAGAACGGAACTTCACATTAAAGAAGTACAAAATAAAATTCTATTGTATTTAATCAATAAAATATTGTAATTTATAAGTATATACAGAAAATAGTGATTAAATTTAATTTTCATTTTCTCCGATATTAAATATATTTTTCATATTTTATTTAAATCGCACACACACACGCACGCGCACACACACACGCACGCGCACACACACACGCACGCGCACACACACACGCACGCGCACACACACACGCACGCGCACACACACACGCACGCGCACACACACACGCACGCGCACACACACACGCACGCGCACACACACACGCACGCGCACACACACACGCACGCGCACACACACACGCACGCGCACACACACACGCACGCGCACACACACACGCACGCGCACACACACACGCACGCGCACACACACACACACGCACACACACACACGCACACGCACACACACACGCGCGCGCGCGCGCGCATATTTTATACATATTAAAAGATCATTAATTTATCTTTAATATTATTATATTATTTGTTGCAATATATTTTTATCTATAATATTTGTGTAATATACGATAGTTATATATCTACATAATAAAAAAGAATATTATGTTTAAACTATCGCTACGATATAATATACAATTATTGGCTACTGGCTACTGGCTCTTTAATATAATATATCTAGATTGTTCAAAGTTTTTTTCAAAAATATTCTTGATGGTACTCTTAATTATTCTCCATCTAGACTATTTTGTATGACCATTCGTAATGTCGTAAATAACGAAAATATAGTTGACAAATACTGTAACATTAATAATAGTTAAATTAATTTTCAGTTTGTATCTCATAAAAAGATATTGATTATATATTAATCTATTTCTAATTGTCACTTGCATTCTATACATTTGTCATTTATCGAATGTAATATTCAATTAAATTTATTTTGGAAAATTGTATGTAATATAATAAGCTTTCCTTTCATTATTTAAGATTATTTAAATATCTGTATAATAATACACATACACACACATCATGTTAAACACATATATCATACATATGAGAACATTTTTACGACAAAAATAATTGTAAAATTATTTATTGGCAATCAAAAAACACCAAGCTCATCAAACTTTATGCACATACACATAAGCACATATCAAATACATATACAGAGACATTCCAATGAGGAATACCCACTTGAAATATATACTTCGGTTTGCTGTAGAGAACGGAACTTCACATTAAAGAAGTACAAAATAAAATTCTATTGTATTTAATCAATAAAATATTGTAATTTATAAGTATATACAGAAAATAGTGATTAAATTTAATTTTCATTTTCTCCGATATTCACACACACACACACACACACGCGCGCGCGCGCGCGCGCGCACACGCACGCACACGCACGCACACACACACACACGCACGCACACACACACACACGCACGCACGCACGCGCACACGCACACGCGCACACACACACGCACGCACACACACACACGCACACGCACACGCACACACACACACACGCGCGCGCGCGCGCGGATATTTTATACATATTAAAAGATCATTAATTTATCTTTAATATTATTATATTATTTGTTGCAATTTTTATTTAAATATAATTTTTTATTAATTGAAAATTAATGATTTTAAAAATAATATTTGCCATACTCTTTTAATATTATGTATAACAATGAGGCTAGGTAAGTAATTATTGCAAAAAATAATGGACCACAATTATGAACAATAAGCCATCTAGATAATATGCATGATGATTAATGTGACTATAATATTCCAAGTTTTTTCTTACCGATGCGTAGTAATTTAAAGATAATGAAGGCATAAGGCACGGTATCGCGACAACTATTGGTTTTTGAGCTTTCTGCATAATTATTTGTAGACTTTTATGTATAGCAATTGATAATTTGTACCATTGTGTATTAAAGGCTGCCTGTCTTACTTCACTGCTCTTACAAAGATATTGGACAATCATAATACAAATTAAAGTAAAACAAAGTTTTAACGATAATTAACTTACTATGTGAATCAAATGCTCGGATGGCCATGTATACATAAATACTTTTGATAATCCACCAAAAATTAAACCAATGCATTGAATTTTCATGGATAGTGGTTGCCCTTGCTAAATATAAAACAAAAATATTCTATGAATGTTTACAAATAATTTGTGATTCTTAATTAATGCATTTTTTATATTGTAATTTTTTGTAGAAAAAATAATTAAAGTAATGCTTTATATAATGCTTTTTTTGAAGTATTAAACTAAACTTTTTATATAATAATTTTTTTAACGGACGCGCGTGGGCTTGACACCATTCTTCACATTTTCTTGAAAAAATAATTTTTTAAGGATTATTATTATAATCTTAACATTTTTGTATTAGAATTTTTAATTTTAGTTAATTAGAATGAGAATGTGCTGTTAAAATATTATACTATTATTGTGAAGCATTTTTTACATACAGAATAAAATAAGAGAAAAACGTACATTTAAAGATTGGAAAAATTAATTCATTTAGAGTTACAATGTTTACAATACATAAAATATTGTTACTAATAATATACTATTATCTATTCACATAATTCTACGCTCATAATCAGAGATGGTAAATCGTGTATATTAGTTCTCAAGAAGTTTTAGTAGAAAAAAGGTTCATCAAAAATATTTTGAAAACGTCTCGAATTTAGCTACACGAATATAATAAAAAATAGGCATTTTTGTGGAAGATTTTTGTTCACGGAGCTTTTCAAGGTCATTCAAAATTCACAAGTAATGTCACCAACTAACAGACTTTGTAAAACCCTACTATGTTTATTTCAAACATTTTTCAAAAAAATCAATACCTTCCGAGATTTGACTATTCGGCAGCCCGAATTTTTCATGTTTGACTGGTTTGACTCGATAACTGTCCATTATTGAGCTTTGTGCCCATTACATCTTTTGTTCAGTAGGTCATAAGCTACAACATATGTAAAAACCAATTGATTTGACCGGGACAGATTTTCCATATGATTAGTGCTGGGTTCTTTCCAGTTTGAAAACGTATGAGATTCACTTTGAATTTAATCTGAACGAACTGTTTAACAGTATTGCATTTTAGTTTTAATTCAAACATTTTTATGTAATTAAATAATGTTTTTAATTAAATTAATATTTTTTAAATCTCACTTTAATAATTTCTGATGTTTTTGAATACATTGTAGTAAATCGTGGACATCTATAATTGTTCGAAACTCTTCGGCTAATAACTCAAACCTTACTGATGTAAACCAAAGCAACAGAGCTATAAAAACGTTTGTACATAGCTGGGAAGCACATTGCATGCATACAATAGCCTGATCTACGAAGATAATAAATTTCATCGGTTGATGATAAATGTCAAATGGATATTCAGCGTTTGTCGGAAACGGTTGATCCAGAGTAACAGGTCCAGTAATAATAAAAATAGCACTTAAGTAGAGCCAGAGGATAGATCCACCGTAGAAGTGGACGCATCTGTCAATGTATTGTTGAACAATCGCTTCCTCATGAGAATTAAGTAATTCACAGAAATTTTCCATTTCGTATGTAACCAACTGAAATTGATCAATTTCGTTTCACATGCATTGAAAAAAATTAATGGTAAATATTATTCGAGAGAAATATTATCCGAGAGATATTTTATTTGTATTAATTACTTGTAGACGATAAGAATTTATTTTACAGAACACAATATTGCACATAATGTGCATAGTAGGACATATAACGATTATTGATTTTGCCATAATGATAGGATCATCAAGGTGATTCCTAACTGTATTACACAGTCCAATGGTTAGGCCCAAAGTTAAAAATAGACACAAGTATTGGTATAGTGCCACACATATGACTTTAAGCTTAATTGTGTTTGTTGGGAGAGGCCAGGAGCAATTTATAAACAAACTTAATTTTACGGTGGCAATCACATTTTTTAGCGTTATGTTTTTCCACATGATTAAATGCACGTATGCATTTGCTGCGATATATATCGAAAGATTTCTGACTTATAGAAGTTGCAACGATGTGATAAGTGGATGTATAGTACAGGAAATTTTACCATAAAAATTATATATGTTCTCATATGCTTCAATTTCATATCTAACATACATGTGTGATAAGACTTTCATGAAATAAGCGGTACCATAGTATAATACGCGCGCATAAAGTAAAACATAGTAAATCTATAATTCACTAGCAGGAAGAAACATTCTGAAATAAGTTGCGAAAGAAACATATGGTAAAGGTATCATTAATTTAATACACAGTTGGAATTATCTCTTAGGATGTAATATTTTCGTTAAAAACGAAAGCTTTAGAATATTATTTTCTACATTCACCTATGTAATATTATAAATATAAAACTGGGAATAATTGAAAAGCTATGGAATATGCAAGAAATTTGTGAATCGTTACTACTAATATGCAACAGTTTTAACAATACTTATCGTACGATAAATTTTTCTGCAAATTTATTGCAAATATTTTAGTTTCACTTGAAATGCTTTGAAAATAAAGACGAGTGGTTTTGTTATACTACAATCATACTACAACTATTCAATATTAGCTTTGCTTATTGCTACATTGTTGTTTTTAATTAACTTTTATTAACATTTTCTTTTTAAAAACTAGAAAAGAGATTAATGTCTTCTAAATACTTTTTATGTCTTCTTCTTATTATTTTATAATTTTTAGTATTTTAGGAATTAAATGAGAATATCGTACGAACTAAATGATTGACAAAAAAAAAACATAGGTAAGTTCAATAGATTATAAAAAATTCTAAGAATTTGCAAGATTAGTTGCAGACAAAAGTTGATAATAAATATAGTATTATATTTAATAAATAGCAAAAACAGAATGTTGCTATTAAATGTGTTTATAACATTTTAATACATTTCTCATTTTCATTTTTTCTCGAGATTAATAGTGAAAATATAGTAAGAACTAAAAATAAAAATACTAAAGAGTATATTATTATTATTAATAGTAAAGATACATGTATATGTTAAAAAATCAATTAGTGTTCTTATCTTTGCAACAAAGTTATTAATATCTTAAAATATCTTTTAAAATAAATAATTGCTAGGTGTATTTAAAGTTCTGTGTAACATTAATAATCAGGCGAAGATATTTTCGATATTTTGTACATTATATATTATATATAACATAGCGGATTATCAATACCAAAAAATCAAATCTAATCTAAATAAAGATCAAACCTCTCTTTCTTCTCTCTCTTTTTTTTAATCAAGTAATACGCTGATCTGTTGATGTTCCATCTTTTTGTTCTTCAAACATCATTCGCATTGTAGTAAAATAGGAGAATATAGTTGAGAGATACTGGAACATTTACCATATTAAAAATATACATATTTTTTTTATAATAAGTTACTATAATATGCATATATGTGTATGTTTGCGAATATTTTTTGGAAAAATATATTCTTATTTTTTATTCATTATGTGACCAAAGCAGAAAGGAATGCTTTATACTTTATAGACATATGTTAATAATTTCCTATTTTTAATTTTTTTGGTATAATAATTTTATTACCATATCTAACCCTCTTGTCAATATCCGGGTATCCGGGTACCCATTTTCGTGTTCTTATTAAAAATTTTTCAATTTCCCGGCAAAATGCGCCTTAGCCCGATCAGATTCTCGTTATTTGGATCATTTTACATCGATTTACGCTTTGAGTCATAATTTTTTTTTTTTTTTAATTATTCTTGTTGGGGTCAAAGTTCGGGGGACAACACGCTTGTTCAATACCCGGGGTACCCGGGTACCCCGGGCTTATACACGAGCGTTCCACACGAATTTTCTTTCCGCTTTTGCTATTCGCGTCATCAAAGCACTTCGTGAGGGAATAATAGAAATTTCATTTATACTAATTTCGTCTATACTTGTCGAGATCTCATTCGAGAATGAAACCACGCTACAGAATTCGTCCGTTGGGACGCCAATTCTTTCAGGTAAAAACCCGAGGGGAATTCCAGGAAACGTTAGAGGAGGAAATCCCTGTTCATTTACCAACTTACAGCTGTCAGGTACCCGAGAGGAAGGGCGCAGGTAGCCCTACACTGCCGTAATTACCGGCTTTGCATAGTGAGTACCCGGGTACCCCAGGTATTGAACAAAAGGGGGAAATCCGGGTATTGACAAGAGAGTTAAGCGTTAAATAGTTAAACTTGATTATTGTTTTATTTTGCTATAACATAATTAAAAAATTTTTTTCTTCTTTTTTTGAATAGAGAGAATTATTTCAAGTGACAGCTTCTAATAATTATATGATGACTAAATGAGATAATGGGTACTATTATAGAATTCTCGCAATCAAAATTGCTATCTCACCGATGCGTAATAATGTAAAGATAAAGAAGGCAGGCCGCAAGGTAATACAACAAGTATTGGTTTCTGGCTTCTTAGTATAATCATCTGTAAATTTTTTCGAAAATCTTCGGATTCATCATACCAGTTTGTTTCAAAAGCTATTTGTGCAATATTATTACTCTAAGAAAGACATTCAGAAATAACAAAATTATGTAAATATGGTAACGTCATTACTTATCAGTAATTAACTTACTATGTGAATCAAGTGTTCCGCTGGCCACGCGTACATAAATACTTCTAATAATGCACTGACTGCTAAAAAGACACACTGGATCTTCAATGCTAATGAAACTCCCTACTCAAACAAATGTAATAGAGAGAGAGAGAGAGAGTTATCATAAAAATAAATTTTGATAATATGATTTTAATAGTACAACAATAAAATATTATTCACTGTGCTTATAAAAAAGCAGGCTTAATATGTATTTAAAAAATAGTGTTTAAAAAAATATACATATTACATATAGCTATAACCAAACTTTATATATTTTAACTCAAATCTACTATTATTATTTATAAATGCATAGTTAAGCTATTATTCAACTTAATAATTATGACATAACAACGCTTGACAAATTTTAAATAACACCTTTGACGCATGGAATGCCAATAATTTTATAAAATGTACTTACTGTAATAAAAATAAGGCCGAATACTAATAATGATACAGTACTGAAAAATACGGTTCCCAATGCAAAAGGACGAACTGCAAGAGTTACTTCTTTTGCGTACCTAAAATCATTGCATTTTAAGATTTTATCTCACACATGATGTTACATCTATTCTCTTTAAACATTTAAAAATATGTAATGAAACTTTTTCTTTAGTATTTCCAGCAAATCGTTTTAGAGAAATAACGGTATTATACTCAAGTAATTGTTGATGTTTCTCGATACATTTCATGAAATCGTAGATGTTTGTAATCATCCGCAAATCTTCAATCAACAATTTAAATCTTGCTGATGCCAACCACAGCAAAAGGGCCATGAAAGCGTTTACACATAAATGTGCCGCTATTTGCAGACCAACCACAATTTGATGCATATATGTAATAGCCCATAACGGTTGACGAGACGCGTCGAATGGAAAATCAGCGGGCGCCGGAAGCGGTTCATCTAATAGGATAGGTCCCACAAAAAGAGCGAAAACACTCATATAGAACGATGTTATACAAAAGCCATAGAAGCTGGCACACTTATCAATATAATCTCGCTGAACAATAGCTTCTTCATGAGCATTGATCAGCGCGCAAAAATTTTCCATTTTGAAAGTGATACACTGCAATTAATTGTGTTATTTTAGCTGAGGATGTGCGAGAGGAACAAGCTTTTTATTTTCAAGAAATAATATTCCTATTAATTACTTGCAAACGTTGATAAATAATTATGTGACACAGAATATTCCAGATAACATGACTACAAGGGAACAAACCCAATGATGCTTTTATGACAAGCTCAGGATCATCTAGATTCTTTACAAGACCATATACCATCGATGCTATTACGGCTATAGTTAGTAATATACAGATGTATTGATACAACTTCATGCACAGCACTTTACGTTTATTTGCGTCTTGCGGTAGCGGCCAAAACCATATAACAAACAAACTCAACTTTACAATAGCAATGGTTTTTTTTAGTGTTATTCCTTTTTGCATGACTGCGTACATAAGCTACACACATACGAGTATATTGCAAATACTGTTTAATGCAAATCTATCTCTCGTGTTGTCAAACAACAATTCAAGAACTTGCGGCAAAATGCTAGAATTATGCACAGCGAAACCTTATTAAGAAACTATACCGTCTTATAAATTTTTCTTTCATATATATGATATACCCTTAATAATATTTTTATAAAATGTGCGATAAATGGGAACTTACAAAGACTAAAGTCGATACCCAGTTCCATCAGTTATTTTTAGTATAAATAAGAAAAATATTCATGCGTTGTAACGAACTAAATTGAGTATAATTTTGCTATTCTTCTGAGATATAGAACATCGATTGAGCAAAGTATACGGTAGCCTTAAAGTATATGGTTTTTATCTCTACATATTGTCTGCATTGACTAAAATTAGGTGGCAGAGAAGGATTAATAATTAATTCCATAGAACTTTTGAAATGGCAATTGTGGGGTTATATAGCAATTTCTTTAAGTACTATTGCAGCATTGATAAAGTATTTTAACATAAACTGAGATATCATTGAGATATGAAAATAAGAAAGAAATTTTATCGCTTGCGCTTGGTCTATAAGTTATCTCTTATAAGTTTATTCACAATACAATCTTTTTCACAAGTTTTGTTAGATGAGTTTTGTTAGACAGGTAATTTTTTCTACTCTTAATTGTCAATCTTAATTTTTTGATACTGAATTCTAGTTACTAGTTCTTATATTGTCTTAGTTGAATATACCGATTATCGTGATTGTATATCAAACAAATAAAATATTTGATGAAAATTAAAAGTAACGAAAAAATCTCACATATATCATTTAAATAGTATAATATAAACTTTGTGAGATGTTTTAATTTTCTGTTTGCATGTTAAAAAAATTAAAATGTTTGCGTTTCAGCAAAAAACACTAAGAAATTAGATATTATAGATAGAACATATATGCACGATACATATAGTAAACTATAAATGGAACATGTATATATGTACAAATTCTTAAAATATTTTTAATATATGATATTTGTGTGCCACATTTAGTAATTGTACATACGAAACAACTTTTTGTCTACATTGTATGTAACATAAAAAATATTATCGTATAAATACAATAAACATAATTAAATATAGTGCTTTTAGTATGTTGTTTAAATTACTAATACTTTTGTAATCTGGTGGTAGACTTGTAATAATTCTTTATTTTATAATTAAACTTCGTCCGCTTTTAAAATAAAAAATAAAATATTTTAGAGATATACATATAGATACTTTATAGAATATACATATATACTTTGTGTTTGTGTGTACGTGTGTGTGTGTGCGTGTGTGTGTGTGTGTGTGTGTATAGTGATCAGTAATATGTAGTTCTCATACACATAATATATTATTATGTAAATAATGTTGTGTCGGATAACATTTACTTCTTTCATGACATGCGACTTTGATAATAATAAAAATTTTACCAAAAATTTTCCATCTTACCGAACCAAAGTATCTTAAGGATAAAATTGGTATAATGCAGGTGACGGTAACAGCAACTGGTTTCTGGCATCGTAACAACATGGGAAGCAAAATTTTTTGCATATATACATCGCGAGAATACCATAATGATTCATAAACCGCTAAGGCAACGTTTGAACTCTGTTATAAAAAGATATTTATTAAATCGTTTATATGTGATTATTGTATATATAATATCGTCAAAAGATTTATCCAAACTTTCAAAAATAACTACTTAGAAAATTAGAGATTAAAATAGAATGTATATCAAAAATAAATAATTTTTATTTCTGGTGTATCTATAGATAATTTCTACTTCTGATCAATAAATATAAAAAAAGTACAAGCCATTTGAAATGTGTAAACACATCATGTATATCAGAATTATACATATATTTATTAATAATTGCTTGTGTATAATTGTTTTGCAAAATATAAATATACATACTGCAACCAGTAGATTGTTAGCAGGCCAGCAACACATAAATACTTGGGAAAGACAGGTGAAAATTATCACACAAAATTGCATTTTGATAATTAATGGTTGCTGCTGTTGATAAGTAATAGGTAACATCAATTTTATAATAACATCACATTATTTTAATATAATAATATACAAATTGTTTTAGTATGCAATCTTTTACACGACAGAAATAGAATCTTAGTTTAAAACTTAGTTGCTACAATATTAAAAATTGAGAATTATTTAAAAAATAATTAAAAAAATATTTTCCAATTTTCTTAAAGAATATTTGACTCAAATTTTGTTAAGTAATTTACAGTTAAAAAAAGTGGATTTAAACTTGATATATATTACATAATAATTAGAATGACTAAGAGTAACTATGATAATATTATTTCAAATAAGTAAAAAGGGGAGAATAAAACAATTGAGTTAACTTTTATTTTATTTGTTTGATAGCAATACTTACACTGACAAGAGTGAGACCGACGAATAATATTGCCGCTGCACTACCGCCAACTATTGTGAGAACCAAAAATCGAACTGAGTGAGTTACATCATTTGCATATCTGTAAATTCATATAACGTTCATATTTTATAATCATAAGTTGGATATAATCTTATCAATATAAAATATAAATAATTTTTATTTTTCAAAAAAATATATTTCTCTTCTGCATTCTTAAGATTCTTATTGACAAAGTTGATCAATATAAAATTAAGAACTAATTGTATTATTTAGATATATAATTGTACCGTAGTACTTGTTGGTGCTTCCGAATACACTGTGTCAGTTCGTAAACATTTGATATCATTCGTAATTCATAGCACAACATATCAAATCTAGCTGAAGCAAACCAAAGTAAAAGTGCAATAAGAACATTGATACATAAGATTGATGCCATCTGCATGCCAACAGAACTCTGCTGTACGTAAATGATCATTCGTAATGGTTGATAATTTACGTTGAATGGATATTTAGCATACGTTGGAAAAGGTTCAGATAAAAATGGTGGACTGCAAATAACAGCGAACGCTGTTAAATAAAACCACATCGCGGTCGCAGCGTAAAATATCGCATATCTGTCGACATACTGTTGCAAGATATCCTTTTCGTAACCTATAGCATATTTACAGTAGCTTTCCATCTCAG